TTACGGGACAAACAATAAAGCTGCAACCGCTTTCTTCTAGAGTGTGGCTCTAAGTAATCCTGAGGTCAAATCTAGTTTCGTTTTTCAGTTGGGTTGTTATTTATAGATAGATATATTTCATTTTTTCTTCAAAGACATGCACTAAATCATGAAGAAAATGGGACAAGAAATTAGGTCAAGTCATTGACTGTTTTGGCTTAATGGGTTGGCGAATATGCAAACGTAGTTTTTGTGTCTTTTGTGAGATAATGAACACGCCATTGCCATGCATCATCAGACGGCCTCTGCACTTAAAAAGTCTACTAAACATAATTAATTCCAACTTGGATTTTTAAGCCTATATTTAAGTTGTGTGGATTTCGACTTGTATTTGATTTGGCGGATGCTAGCAATCTTTTCATTCAGACATTTAATTTCTTAGTTTTTTCTACATCATACAATGTTTGCTTGATGAACGAAAAGTTTAGGTTACATTTAAAGATCAATTCTGAAGAAGAAATCAACCAAACTAGAAATCATTTGATTAACGTTATCAAAATTTTAGCATTCAAGTAAGAAACATGATTCGCCTATTTATTGGATATAGTTAATTTATTGTAATAATGATTTTGAAGGGATGACAATAGACAGTTTGAACCATCGGTGCAACATGCAAATTGAGAAGGATAGCCGAAAAGATTAAATAAACCAAATGAAAGCATTCCCTCTAAATTCTTCAAGCGTTACAATTTGCAGTTGCACCCCTAAAAAACATGATTGGTTAGGTGAAGAGTTCAATTATCTTCCATTTATAAACCTATTTAATGTATACATTTTAAAGTCGTAGTTATGAGAATCTAAGAACTTTTCAAAGCACCAACCACAAATGAGACCTTCACTAGAACACATCTAACTCGGACGGCAATGATTTCATACAATATTTGTTGGCTGTTTAATTTCATGGTTTGCCTGTTCAACCTCACTGTTTTTCGTTGATAATACTATAATTTGAATTCGTTCATTAGAGTTTTAAACAGAGCCGGTTTTGAGGGTGTGCAAGTGACGCTACTACACAGGACTCTTCGATCGGGAGGCTCACCATTTACGATTTTATTTTACATGTACATAAAGTATATATATCTAAAGGTGCACTCAACAGTTTTTTATACTTCTATTTGTTTGCAACCCATCTCTATAAATTCCATTCTTTCCCTCATCACATTTGCAACTTCAATGGCTTTCTCCACATCCATCACCTCTCTTTCGCTCTGCATCATCGACTTCCTCGCGGTGGATGTGTCACGGCGGAGACCAAGGCGATCGATATGGGTCACGGCGAAAACCAAATAAAGAAGGAAGTATTTGAGAGAGTGATATGATCCATGGAGGTGGAAGTGAAGACTCGTGCCTTTGGGGTTTTTGTGTTCTTGTTTTGCTGGGAAAATGTGGGATGTTGGAATGGCTCAATCAAATAAAATCTCCCAAAGGATTGGGTCTTTTAATTTGATTGAGCCGTGCCAATATCACAATTGCATTTTAACTTTATCGCATTTTTTTTAAAGTAAGCAAATATATACAAATAGAATAGAACCAGTTATAAACAAAACAAAGTAGAATTAGAAGCTGTACTATGGCGTACATGAAAGACGTACAAAGACTTGGAAAGAGACTTTAAGAAAAAATATGGAGTATTTAGAGCTAATGGAAGACTTGGTGCAAAACTGAGCGTAGTGGCGTTCTAAGATTCATACAACCCACCCTACTTAGTGGGATAAGGCTTTATTGTTTTTTGTTGTTGTCGTACACACACAAGTTGATGCCCTTCTATTGTATGTTTAGTGTCGGGTTTATTGGATGTTTAGTGTCGTTTGAGAAATATTTTTGATTAAAAGTTTATAACCGATTCTGTTTTTGCAGCTTTCCTTGTTTCAAATTAGTATACATACACACATACACACATACATAGTACAACATATACGTATACATAATCATAACTGAGAGAAATCTTGTTTTTATCAGAAATACACCAAACATGATCAACGCACCTTCCCATTCATGCTTTTCTGTATTTTCTTGAAAAATAATCTCGCACATAATATAAATGCCAGGATCATCAACCGTTTATAAATCCTTTTGTATATCGCATGAAAGCGTGCTATGCAAAAAAGAAAACACCCAACTGCAAATTAAATTACGGCCATACAGGCCGATCATCGATCACGGACTGTAAAACCGAAATGTATAAACAGTTACTGTACTAAAACAAAAGAGATTCAAGGGAAGAGCAGCAGGCAACATCTAATGCTCCAATGGTGCTGGTGCTGGTGCTGGAGTATATGACAGCACAAGATAAATGGTGCAGTAGACATGCAGAGTGCAACGAGCATCACTATCTTTCTGAGCTTCCCCGGTCAACCTCAAAGAGCCACGTGCAATTTCTCCCCCGCAAAATATTCCTGCCAACGGAACCCTGGAGAAGTTCTCCACAAAGGGAGAGCCATCAACATTGGCGCGTCCAAAGAATGGCTCACCACGGCCACAACAAGCGAACAGAAAACCCCCAAATACTTCGCTCATGTGACAGCGATGTTTTTGAGTTTCATTGACCTTCAATTTTTTCAGGCTTGAAGAGATGTTGTTACATGAAGCTAATGCAGTTTCGGGGTCTGAACGATAGAAGTTGAAGTAATCACCAGTTTTTATGCCAACGCCACTGACATAAAGGTACTGATCATCTCCTCTGCAGAATAGCATCATGTTAATAGTTAAATCAAAATCATAAATGATTTATCAAATCATCAAACATACTTCAATCAACTATCCATGCGGAAATGTGCAGGAAATACATTTTCATCCCAAGATGAAAAAAAGTTATAAAAGGATATTAAGAAGTATATTTCCGATCAATTAGTTCAATTCATCCATTGAGATCTATTACTAGTTTCCTAGAAATCAATCACTTTACCACCACCAGGAATTTATAGTCATTGCCCACAATAGTATTTCTACGTTTAGGTTAGACGTAGAGGCTTTTATGAATTCCATGTCTGAATGGTTCAGATGGAGCATAATAAGAAAAAAGCATGTGTGTGTGTGTGTATAAGAACAATTCTGAAGCCCATTAAACGATGGTCATTACTGAAAATAGTTGTGGCATTATACATGTTATTGCCAGTGACCCGAGACCACACGAGAACACAGATTGGTCTCAGCAAAGGCAGATGCACATGGGATATATAATATATGAAGAATAAGATTGTAGTACCGCCTCCAAATTAAGGTCTTTTACTTTACATTCTTAAATTGGTTTTCCAGCTATGATCCTGTACTCACCACAATTTGATAGTGGAAAAACAAAACAGTAACAACAGTGAAGTGGCAGAAGGAGCGAGGAGTTTGACAGGGATGAGCAGACGAACCATAAATCGAAGTGTAGGACGCAGAGAAGGATGTTCTTGTTTTAAAGAATTTCATATTTCTTCATTACAGGAACATATGCAGCAACAATTAGACAATACTAGCCAATTAAAAAAGTAGTCCTGAGTGTTACCCTACAACTCCATGGTATTCCAAGGACGTGATCCACCTTGGCTTCTCTGACCCAATAGAGATTTTTCTATGTTTCGTAACCCCAATGTACAGATCTGAAGAATCTACGTGATTTGCTAACTGTCAAATATTATTTTGAAAAACAAACACAAGCACTTGTAAGAAGCATGATAGTTCTAAAATAATCAGATTTCTTAAACAGAACTCACTTGTAATATATCTAATTCACTAGACTAACGTAAAACAACGCTTCAAGTCAACTGGCACTTTCAGCAGACTTTTGAAATGCACCACATGGAAAATTTAACTGTAAGTTTTACCTCATCGTTGATATCATCGAGAATTTGTTGACCGTCCAGAATTTCTGGGTGTCCCTCTCTTCTAGCAGTAAGCCAAGTAGAACGCTCACAGTTATTCACTTTGACAGAAACAGCCTTGTGTGCTGGGAACCGACTGTGGACACTCCATTTGATAATGCAATTTGGAATTGAATGTCTCCAATACCTTTTCATTTATACAAAACCGAATAAGTGCCTAACAAAACACATTGGGTAGTTTGACATGATAACTTTACAGAACAAGAAAGCCACCATAGATATGTTGTTAGAGCAAGAAGGAAGCAAATAAGTTACAAGGAAAAAACAGAAGCAAATGTGTATGAAACCTTACGAGTGCATAATGAGGCATATGATATATCTGAAAGTGCACTCATAAAATAAGAAAAAATTTGGAAAAAGCTATGCATGAAAGAGAGATGAAAAATCTTCACTTGTGAAAATTAAAGATCAGCATGCATCTCTCAAATATGAGAACCCTTAAAAGTTATTCAATTTTGATAAAACATGGTTCCAAAATTTGGAGATATACTGTAATTGAAAGTTTGAAACTGAAAGAAATTTTATAAAGCATGAAAGCATTAAACATGTTTACCTAGGAAAAAAAAACATTAAACACGAAAAGGACTAGTTCACAAATGAATACATCTTGATGTGTTTCAAATCTTCTAGGGAGATTGCAAAATAGACTGCATCTGAAGTGGCTCTGATATTGGAAGGCCCTATCGAGAAGTGATATGTGCCTTTTATTTCTTTCTTTACTTTGTATCTGACACTTCTGAAGGCATGCAAGTAGCTATTTGAACAGAAACCTATGCTGGAAACAAGGGGGAAAAACGATGCTGTATAAATGAATAAACCAAATACTTACCATGTGGCTTGTCTTTATCCTTGGCAAATATAAGAGCAACAGCATCGGTAAAGTATTTTGCATTCCCACAGACATTTCTAGACTCATTCTCACTTCTATATAAAATGCGACATCTCTCATCACCCACAATGACAGTTTCCGCAGGCATAGCATAATCTGCAACAAATTGAGACATTGAGATATAATCAACAAAAATTGAGTCCCAGCATGAGCATGCAACATAAAAGTTTATCACAACACATAGACCTAGTTTGGGAGTGAGGTGCTTAAAAAAAAAGCACCCATGAAAAAAAGCTGTGAGGGTTTTAGGTGTTTGGTAAACTGAAAAAAAAATGGCTTATTTTGGAAACTGCTGTGAGAATAAGCTGAAATCAAAGGAAAAAGCTGAAGCTGCTATTTGCAGCTTTGGAAAACTGGCTTTTTTTCAAAGCACACGAAGCTACAGTGCTTCTTTAATGAAAAGACCCACTATTAGACTGCTTTTTTTTTTTTTCCAAAAGCACTTTTACAAAAAAGTTTACCAAACACTCTGCTGATTTATTTCACAGCCGCTTATTCTCACAACACAGCCGCTTATTCTCACAGCAGCTTTTTTTTCAAAGCACAGCAATACCAAACCAGCCCATAATCTGAAAGCAGCAGCTTATCTCCCTAATGTTTCGAGCGGTAAATAAATGATTCTTGTTTTTATTTATTATGTCCTCAGGACTCACTACTCACCCAATGCATCAAACAATCGGTTTCATGTCACGAAGCCCATCCTGTACCATTAATCATTTACATGTTAGCAATGCGGCAAAGGGAAGCTACATCTGATTGAAAAGAAAGAAAGAAGGAGTGAAATAAAGAGGCAATAAAGTATGAGGACAGCCACTCACTCCAAACATCATAATTCCAACCGGGGACGTGCAATCTGAAACAGAGGCTGTGTAATCCTTAATATCCATGATGAATTTATCAAGCAAGACTTCTCGAGGATCCTGATATCATTAGAAACTATTTATGTATCAAGAAAATCCATTATTCAAACTGCAGAAAGAGCTTGAAAGATTCTACAAATTCCCAAAAACGACAATAAAAACCAAAGACTGTGTGCCCTAAGTTTCCCTCATTTGAAATTCCGCTGTGGAATTCTTAAAGAAATCAGATTTGTAGTTATACTGTAAAATTTGGCACCTTTATTGTTCGTAACAGCGGGATGGCATCAACTTTCAATCCTGGCACAAAGCCAACAGTCAAAAGGATGCCGTAGTTCGCATCCTTTGTTGGTATAGAGCAATCTTCATCACGTCCATCACCACAAACCTCTCCCCACTTAACCTAAACAATCACATTTCATCTGAAATCAGTAAAGACATAAACTTGCTGCAAACTAATGAACAAAAACCCGGCAAACCCGAAAAACACAACCACGAAACCTCTTTGAATTCATGGGTAAGAGCATCTCTTCCAAATATTCCACTTGAAGTAGAAATGATGAATGGAATACTGGACCCCAATTTTTTCGATATCTGCAATTTCAAACATAGAACAAAATAAAAAAATCCATAATTTGCTTCTCTTAATTCAAATGTATCCAATCATATACTAATTAGGATTAAGGGGTTTATAAGAGCAGCTTGGAAATGTCATACAATCCAAACCCACTTCCAATATTAGCTACAACAAAATGAGGCCGTATAGGCTCAGCTAGAACCTTCTCGATAACCTCCTTCACTGCAACCTATCAATTGCAACACAAAAATTGAGAAAATGTGCGACAAAATTTGAGCTTGTTATTTTCTCGGAGACCAAACAGGGGTCTAGACTCTCTAAACCAACCTTAGGCGAGGGGTGGAGAGAGAGGGCGGAGGCGAGCTTCGGGCGAGTGAGGATTCGGCTGCAGATTTGGTTCCAGGATTTGCTAACGCACGCCGCTGATGCGAAGGATAAGGCGGGTAGGTGCGAGAGGATGTTGTGGAGAAGGTCGTCGTTTATCGGCGAAAACAACCCTGCCGCCGCCGTTTGGGGCCGTTTTGTGTCGGTTTTTATCGCCGCCGCCGACGACGATGCCCCGTCCATCGGACAGCTGCTTGTTTCGTAAAGATGCCGACTTTCAGAGTCTCAAGTCTCAAGTAGTTGTAAAAGTCTGAAGCTTTGGTGTCTGCATGTTTTCTTCCATTTTGTTTGGTTGGAAAAATCGAACACATCCTTTGTTTGGTTGGAAAAATCGAACATAGCGGTAATTTTCTCACTTTATTTATTTTATTAATTTTGTTTTTATTATTTTAATACCGTTGATATTTTACATTGATTGACAATCTTCTGTGTAAGGATTCGGAGATTCTCAAATTGTGTATGTTCTTTAAATATCGTGCGATCAGTTTTCGTCAGAAAATATTCATGTTTAATTTTAAATAAAAGTATTTAAAATAATTTATGATGCACGATGTAGGATAAACAGACATAATTTGAAAATTTTCAGAATTCTCACAAAGAGGATCCGAAAAGAATTTATATTCTTTTACATTAATGTAAGAGAGAGAATCTGACTCTGAGACGGGTTGGTCAAAATCAACTTTATATACAGGAGTGTACTATCCACACTCCTCATTTTACTTCTCACACACCTCTTGATAATTTATATCTGTTGATCTTCTTCAATTCATCCTATATATAACTAATATCACAAGCCAAATAAGGCTGATAATTTTTTCCTACAGAAATTGTCGGATATTTCAAAGCTAATTTACACAAGACGAATTATAAAAGCCTATGTGTTACAAACTGTTAGCCATAAAATTAAGCAAAAAAATACACATCAAGTAATTGTACCACTTTTTCTTAAATTTGTAACAAACATCATAAACATAACCCTACTAATTATCAACTCTACAAGCACTTCTTATTTGACTACATAAGCCATAGTGAAATGCTTGCCCTAGACCTAGTACTTAATCAAAAGACTTAGTGTCACCTACCGATCCGGGCTTCATCACATTATTGTCCGTCATAGCACAATATTGTTCGCTTTGAGTCCCGACCACGTCCTCACGGTTTTGTTTCGGGGACTCACGCGAGCAGAACTTCTCAGTGGGTTATCCATCCTAGGACCACTCTCACTCGAACTCGCTTAACTTCGGAGTTCCGATAGAACCCGAAACCAGTGAGTTCCCAAAAGACCTTGTGTTTGGAAGAGGTGAGCATGTACATATAAGGCATATATGATCCACTTCCCTAGGCGATGTGGGATCTAACAATCCACCTCCTTTAGGGGCCCGACGTCCTCGTTGGCACACTTTCGGCCGCCCATGGATTGGTTCTGATACCAAATTATCACATCCCAACCTGGGATCCAGAGAACTCACGCAAACAGAATTTCCTAATGAGTCACCCATCCTAGGACCGCTCTCACCCAAACTCGCTTAACTTCGGAGTTCCGATGGAACCTAAAGTCAGTGAGTTCCCAAAAGGCCTCATATTAGGAAGAGATGGGCATGTACATACAAGGCATAGAGGATCCACTTCCCTGAACGATGTGGGATCTAACTGTAGACATTGAAATTTCGGTGAAATAAATGTTGACCAATAGTTACAATTTCAACGCTCACGTGTCACATAAATTTTACACGTAGTGTGTGACTAAACGAAAAATCAAAATAAATCGGAAAAGTCATCAAATAGGACACATGTCAACAACTGGCAGAAACGATTTATTTCATCTGCATATTATATTCAAAATTAGGCCTTGGAAAATTCTATAAATAGAAGCCATTTATTCATTTTGGGGGAATTCGGAAAACCAATTCATAATCAATTCACCTCACACCAAAACCTTGAAGCTTTGAAACTCCAAAGCTCCCAAGCAAATCCCGAAAGATCAAGAAAGTTCTCTTCGTTCTTCATCAACCTAACCTTTAAGATTAAGCCCCAACGGCCATTTGAAGGAACTTCTACCAATTCAAGATCAAGCCCCGACGACCCTTGAAGAAGGCGTTCATCGTTCATCATCCGTTCATCCTAAGATCAAGCCCCAACGGCCCTTTGGATCAATAACATCAACAAATCCACACATCCAACCATTCTTCAAGATAAAGCCTAAAAGCCCTTGAAGATCCATTCATCAGCTATTCATCAAGATCAAGCCCCAAAGGCCCTTGAAGATCCGTTCATCAACAGTTCTTCAAGATCAAGCCCAAAAGCCCTTGAATATCCATCCATCAACTGTTCATCAAGATCAAGCCTCAAAGGCCCCTTGAATATCCGTTCATCAACAGTTCTTCAAGATCAAGCCCAAAAGCCCTTGAAGATCCGTTCATCCATCAACCTTCAAGATCAAGCCCAAAATACCCTCTTGAAGAAACTTCCAACCATTCATCCGAGATCAAGCCTCGACGGCCCTTGGATCAGTATCACAATCCACAAATCAACACCTTATGGAGATCGAATCAGATGATCAAATTTGAGAGAGATTGTAACCCCTAAATCATTAATACAAAATATTATTTTGTACACGTGTTCTTGTCTAGTTTATTTCAGGAAAATTTCGTGTTTACAAATTTGGCACGCCCAGTGGGACAATCTCTACCTCTCATCTCTTTCTCCGTTTAAGGAATCCAAAACACACCTCAAAGTCAATGGCATCAAGCAAGGGACAAGCCGTTCTCGCAACCACTAAGGGAAGGATCCTGAGCACTTCTGCCGCGAATGGACAATCCATTGGCACCACAACCGCTCCTTAACATGCCACTTCAAAGTTGGTGCCGCTAAAGGAGCAAGGGGAGCATCAAATGCGTGAGTCCGTCATTAACCTGACCTCGCTGGGGGCACCGAAGCATGCTGCTGAGGCACACAAGATGACATCCCAAAGCAGCAAACGACGTTCTTCGTCAGCATCCTGGATGTCTAAAGGAAAGTCACGTCTATTGGTTGTACAAGTCATGACCATCGGCGTTACCTCAATTGAAGAACAATTGACTCAAATAAATGAATCGATCACCGACTACAAGAATGACAAAGTTCTTGGGACAAAGGTGGAAAAGGCTGCGTGGAAATCCACCAAGGAAGCAATGACGGTCAACATAACTCCCGTCAAAATCTCTACACTAGGCAAGGCAATTCAAGCCGAAGCTTTTCGTGATCAAGAGATGCGTAGACGTACTTTGAAGGAGCTTGAGGATAAGACTTATCCATTCCCAGACTCTGATGTGGTTGCCATGTTAAAAAACTTGCTTGACAAAAAGGTGATTGACTTACCTGAGTGCAGACGGCCGGAAGAGATGAATCGTACTGACAGTCCAAGGTATTGTAAAGTCCACCATTTCATAAGTCATCCAACGGAAAAGTGCTTCGTACTGAAAGATCTCATCATGAAGTTGGCTCAGAAAGGAATCATTGAGCTAGATCTTGACGATGTGGTGAAGTCAAATTATACCACCATCACTTATGGCTCTGTCGACTCAAAATCTTCACCTCAATCGTTGGGGGCATGCTCCAAAACCATGCCAGTCAAGCAAAGTAAAGTTGAGGGATGGACGCATGTTACTCCAAAGAAACTGCACAAGAAGCATACGTTTCCTCCACAAGTTCACCAATTGGAAATGGGGCAAAGCAGCTCTCGTCAACCTCTAAGGCTACATGAAAGTGTTGAAGATGATGAAATTGTGACACAAAGATCGTATGTTGCCATCACGATGCGCGACTTCTTGCTCGAAGACTTCTTCAATCACTCGGTTAAGGCTCATTGCTATGAAGATTGTGAGGAACACCTCTTCAAAATTGCTTGACAAATTCACCAATTCTCATCGCCCGCATGAGTCTAAACTGCATGGCACAAAGCTCCTAGTCTGCACGAGCATAAAAGGCAACACCAATGCTCCTTGTCCACAAGAGCCTAAACTGCAGGACACCAAAGCTCCTGGTCTGCACGAGCATAAAAGGCAACACCAAAACGTTCCTGGTCCGCACGAGCACAAAAGGCGACATTAATGCTCCTTGTTTGCATGAGCATAAAAGGTGACACCAATGCTCCTTGTTCGCACGACCCTAAACTGCACGAACCAAAGCTCATTGTCCGCACGAGCCTAAACTATAGGACACGAGGCTCCTCGCCTGCACGAGCCTAAACTGCATGGCACTAAGCTCCTGGCTTGCATGAGCATAAAAGGCAACACCAATGTTCCCTACCTGCATGAGTTGAAACTGCAAACGGCATCAAGACGCTCCTGGCCCGCAAGAGCATAAACTGCGTACGGCACCAAAAAAAAAAAGTATTTGAACTATGTTAATACTTGATCTCTTCTTTGGAGGGGTACGTAGGAAGCTCGAACATCCAATTTCGAGTTCAGTCACATCAAAATAAAAAAATAAGGTTTGATTAAAATGTTTGACTATTGAGAGTCAATTTTATACAATAATTCTTTATAAAAAAATAAAAAATAAAAATTAATAATAAAAATTAAAATAATAATTAAAAAAAATACAGTTTGCACAATATATGTGTGTGTGTATATATATATATATATATATTAACTGCAACTGCACTTTCTCTCTTGCATTCAAAGAATGGCGAGTCAACTCGGTTCTCTGCAAAGGCTCGCACCCAACCGACGGCGAGGACGAGGATCTCAACTTCCTCGAGGAGCCCACTGAACAAGACAACGCCACTCTGCTTCCTCCGTTTTCTTTAGCACCTGCGCAACCTAATTCTAGCAACCACTGGACCCGTGTCCTTCCTCACCAACCTCGTACTCACCATATTTGGCCTCGACACCAACGCCAACTTCGATTGCTCATTCTCAGATCTAAGATCTGTGAACACCATCGTCGCTGCACCACAACTGGCTTCCATGCTCCGCTCAAGTGGAGGGTCTTGGGTTCGAAGGTTGGTGTGCTTCTCCTGCTCAACAACATTTGATTCGGTCTCAACATCATCAGCAACGTCAGCACCAGCAGCGTGATTCTCGACTCCGAGCTCGACAGCAGCGGCGAGGACGGCGGCATTGTTGTCCTGAAATGTGGAAACGGCAGCATCAAGGTTCCAGTTGTGGGATTCAACGAAGAAGATAGCTTCTTGCTTCGATGTAGATGTGATCTCGCAGGAGAAACTGACGACGACATCGTTTTGGGAATTGGATTCTTGAGCTTCGACTTCCATGACGATTGGATTGTTCAGTGCTCTCCGTCCATGCTTCTCATTGTCCTC